TGCAGCCTGGCTTGGCAGGGCACTGCGTGGTGCTGCACGCTGTCAGGCAGCTGGGGCTCCTCTGACTGTCACCCAGGGCTCAGTGCTGCTCAACCTGAGCAGACCAACAGCCTGCGGTGCCACATGGCACCCTGCCGGGCCGCACCCACATGATGCAGCAGCAGCAGCACAGCTGTCAGGCGGCCAGGACTGATCCCTGCTGCCCCACAGGGTGGGGGCTGTGCCATGAGGCCTCAAGCAGCCCCAAAAGCTGCTGCTACAGCCAGTGAGTGCAAGCTGTTGGGGGGGTGGGGCCAGGCGGGGAAGTGAGCGGGGAGCTAGGGAAGCATTGCAGAGCTGAGGGAAGGAGGGGGAAGCTGGGGGAGAGATCGGAGTTGGGGGAACAATCGGGGAGCTGGGGAAGTGAGTGGGGGGGTTGGGGAAGCAAGCAGGGGGTCCCTCCATGGTCCCTTCCCCCCTACTTACCTGTCACGGAACCCGGGTCCAGGTCCTTGCAGCCTGCACTGCTGCTTGCCCCACACAGGCAGGCAGTGTGCTTCAACACCAGGGCAAGGGCCACCCATAGAGATGCTCTGGCTGACTACCAAGCCTCCTGCCCCACTTTCCCCCCCTAGGTTATATTTTGATACCTGGATCTCCAGGTATAAAATTCTGAGTCTGCACTGCAAATCTGCAGCACAGGGAACGTTTTTTTGTTCCCAGTGTGCATCTTGCGGCGTCTCAAAGGAGTTTGAGACGTTTGTGCTTGTCTGGATGCGCCCTATATGGATAATGTAATATTACACACCTAGACCAATCAATTCCCCATTAAGGGAATGTGAATATAATAGTGATGGAAGGGTTCACATCATTTCATGGAGAAATGCACGCATATTTTTTTTAAATTACAGTAATGTGAACATGAACTACACTTGATAAACAGGAGCAGCTAAGGTCTGGAATGGACTGGTGCATACAACACATCATGGCAGCACCTCCTGAAACTGTTATGATGTTCTTTGGAATTTCTATTTTTTATTTTGTTTTAAAAGGAACAGTCTGTAATTGTTAAAATTTCAAAGAAAAGCTAAAATATGCAAATAATAGGGCTGGCAAACTGGTCAACGGACTTGTCAAATAATGTCAATTGTCCGCAATTAAATACTGTCAAATATTCCATAAAGCTATGGATGGTGGTAGCCTCCTTTTTTATTACATCACGTCATCTGTTAGCAAAAGCAGAAGTGACAGCTCCTTCCCCTGAGATCCACACACCATTGGCAATGCATAGAGGGTGCACATGGGTGCATGTGCACCCCGAGATTGGCATTGCACCCCCTGCAAAAAGCGCCTCCAATGCTGACGGCAGTGCCTGCGGGCAGTTGCCGCTCACCACCCCTTCCCACATCGCTGCCACTGGCGTCTGTGGGCGGTCTCTGATCACCACTGGCCGCCACCACCATCTGTGGGTGGCTGCCTCCCCAGTTGCTGCCTGCAGGAGCTCCCTGCTTGCCACCACCAAGCCCCCGCTATCGACACCGCTGCCTACGGGCAGTCGCTATGCCCCCCCATCCTTTAGGGGCACACAGTGTTCATGCCCCACACCATTTAGAAGCAAGCTTCCCTTGCTCTGCTTTTCTTCAAAGCTCTTCCAGCCTCCTTTCCCTTATTTCTATTATGCTATGTGGTGCCGCAGGACCTACTGCATGCTGGGGTGGCGGAGCAATGACTATAACCACCAGCAAAGAAAAATGGACGTTTGCCTTTTATAGTTACTGCATGAGTTTTATTTTCCTTCCTTCCTGCCCATCCTTTTGGATTTTTGTAATTGTTCAGGCTGATCCTGGGGTTCTGGGACAAAAGGCAAGTAGAAGAAGAACTGTTCACTTGAATATGCCTCACATTTCTACTTACCTAAAAGCTAGGGAAAAGGCAGAGGAGAAAACAACAGCTGGCAAGGACCAGAGATGTTCCTCCAGAAAGCAAGAAATGCAGAGTCCTAGGGATGGATGCTCCAGGACTATTCCAGCAAGAAGGAAGAGGAGAGTGGTAGTAGTTGGAAATTCCCTCCTGCAGGAGTGGAAGCACTTATCTGTCATCTGGATCAGGAGTCCCAGGGGACATGCTGGGACCCCAGTTTGAAGAACCCATATTCAAGATATCACAGACAGACTGCCAGAACTCAGCCATCCCTCAGACCACTAACCTTTCCTGCCTGTCCATCTAGGTACCAATGATGCTGACAGTAATAGCAGACCAGATCAGATCAGAGGAGACTAACAAGGCTCTGGGCAGAAGGGTTAAAAGGTTTGGAGTGCAGGTGATGATCTGGTCAATCATTTTCAAATACCTGAAGGACTGCAATAAAGAAGAGGGAGAATACCTTTTCTCCCTCGCTGCAGAGCAGGATGTGTAACAGTGGCTTACAACTGCAGAAAAGCAGATTTAGATCACATATCAGGAACAACTTCACTGTCAAAAGTTATGGGACATTTTTCACTGGAGGTTTTCAAGAAGAGACTAAATAAGAATGGGTCAGGGATGATCTAGGAGTAGTAATGTCTGGAATGTGCTGTGAAGTACACTAGTTGGAAGCCCAGGAGACCCCCCCCCCACACACACATATACATATCGCTTGGAGATCGTAAGAAGAGCTCTGCACCCCAGAACAGGTGGATAAAGCAAATCTCCACAAATAAAAAAGGATTGAAGAGTGGAGACAAGTTTATGGATTGGATAGAATGACAGTAAGGGGAGTTCTGGTTCTTCAGTTATGGTGTGTAATGTATGGAGTTTGCAATTCACAGGTTACAGTGCAGTTTTTGGTTTTCCCATGTCTCCATGCCATGCTAGTTGCCACATGGGGCCAGGAAATAATGTTTTCACCTCCTGGTGCCTCAGGTATTACTTGTCTCTTCACGTTATTCAGAAGCACTGGATGTTGGTGCGGGATTTTGAGTGAGGTGTGCCAATGTTCTTGTACTTGGAGGTTGCTGGCTAGAGGAACTTGGGGTCAGGCTGATTGCCACTTTTGGGATCAGAAAGAAATTTTACTCCACAGTCAGACTGGCACGGACTGTGAGAGTTTTTGCATTCCTCTGCTACAGGGACCATGGTCCTTTTCCTTGGATCTCTTGAGTGTATTTTAATAAACTGCTTTTGCGCTCATCCTCTTGATTTACTTGTGATAAGCTAGGGCCTTCTTGACATTTTTGGGTATCGTGCTGGTGGGCTGAATGGGCAATGCCTAATCCCTCTACAGGCTGGATTTGGTGGGGCCCCATTTGGCCACACAGAGGTGACAGGGGCACAGTCTGGCCCCAATCCAGCAGTGAAAAGGGGCTCGGGGTCAGTCTAAACCTGGTCCCATGGGGGGAAGGCCTGTGACATGGCCACAACCCAGAGCCACGTGGGGAGAGGTCATGGCCCAGCCATAATCTAGCTGCGGGGGGTGGAGTGGTCTGGCCCTTGTGGGAAGAAGGCGGCATGGTCCAGCCCTAACCTGGTTGGGTGGAGGGAAGGTGGTGTGGCCCAGCCCCAATTTAGCAGCCTGGATCAAAAGGGGCTTGGCCTGGTTCTGATCTGGCCATGCAGAGGGCAGGTCATGGCCCAGCTCAGACCTGTCTCATGGGGCTTGGGATTTTGGCAGCAGGAGGGGGTGGCAGTACTGCCATTGCTCCCCCACTACCAAATTTCCTAACCTGTGGGAAGTCCCATGGTCTCGATTCCAAGGCTTTGCAGGCTGCATTTTGCTGGTGGGCTGGAGCTTGAGTACCACCAATGCTAAGATGGACTAAGATGATCTTGCCTTGAGCAGGAGGTTGGATTAGATGACCCTTTCAGCCCTACTTTTTTATGATTCTGTGAACACTATTATAATAATTCATTACATTTTTTTAGAATTTAAATGGTTTCACAGTAATGCTTATTTTCTGTAATTAGTTTAAGAACCTAAGCTATTGAAGATTAAAGTCTTTCTTTACTGTTCTAATAAATTAATGCTTAAAATACTTGACCATTATTTGACTATATTGACCAGTTAACTGACCAACTATTTTTGGGTTGCCTAAGAACCTGGGACACTCATCCAAGAAGAACTACTATATACCAAGTTAAAGAGCAATTCAAGAAAGTTTGTGGGCAAGTCAAACTGAGCAGAAGGACTTGTCTATATTTAGTATTTTTGCACTGGTGTATTTACTCCAGTTGAGGTGCATGCTGCCCGGCCTCACTGTTTGGGCACCAGTGATGTCAGCAAACTGAATGAAAACGGACAATGTTTGGTCGAACTGTGTTCATGTAATGAGCTATGTATAACAAATTATTTCTTCAATGTGAAACCTCAGCACAAAGTATTTTGGTGCCACCCATGATTTGCATGCTGGTATCAACTGATTATCACCTGCTCATGAGACTTCCATGATGTAATCATTACACAAGCCTATCAGAGTGCTGACTCTGATACCGATTATTCTTTGGTATGCACTAAAGTCAAATTGCATCCCAGGAAATTGTACAAGAGTAAGAAACTCTCGTTACTACAAATAAACGCCACGCAACTTAAAGCTGAATACACATTGTCTCAATTAAACTTTCTCTGGGGCTCTATCATCTCTATGTAATACTGCTGAGGAGAAATGGATTCAGCTCAAGGGAGCCATCTATCCAACTGCCTTGAACTCTTGTGGTACCTTGCATCACAGCTCAAAGGATTGGTTCGATGAGAACTCATCTGAAATTATCCCACTCATAGAAAAGAAATGGTCAGCTCTCCTCAAATATAAGTGTGACCCGAGCCACTCCAACTTGCAGGCACTTCGAGAGATCCAGCAAAAGGTCAAACGTACAGTGAGATGATGTGCAAGCCATTATTGGCTACAACTGTGCGAAAATATCCAAAAAGCTGCTGACTGAGGTGACATGCAAGCAATGTATGGAGGCATCACAAAAGCTCTTAGGCCTGTTCCAAGGAAGACCTTCCCTTTAAAATCCTCCACAGGTGAAGTCATGAATGACTGCAATAAGCAGATGGATCAATGGTTTGAGCATTATTCAGAACTCTACTCATGAAAATATGGCCTGTGACTCTGCTCTCGACGCACTTGAAGACCTCTCAACCCTGACAGCTCTTAACTATGAAAAAAGATGAAGTAGAAAAAGCCACTGATCAGCTTGCTTGTGGTAAAGTCCCAGGTGCAGACTGCATACTGGCTGAAGTTAAGCGCAGGAAATCCGTCCTCCTCCTCTCTCTGCATGAATTAATATGCAAGTATTGGAGAGAAGATGAAGTTCCTCAAGACATGAAGGATGCAAACATAGTCACTCTGTAAAAAAATAAAGGTGATATGGGTGACGGCAACAACCATCGTAGTATATCCTTATTTAGCATCATTGGGAAGCTGTTCACCAAAGTCATCCTGCTAAGACTGCAGACCCTTGCAGACAGTCTACCCTGAGTCTCAATGTGGTTTCAAATCTGGTAGATCCATGATGGATATGAAATTCTCCTCGAGACATCTACAAGAAAAGTGCCATAAACAAAGGAAATCTCCATACACAGCATTTGTCGATACCACCAAAGCTTTTGATCTTGTCAGTTTGATCTGAATCCTGAAGAAGACTGGCTGCCCTCCTAAGCTCCTGAGCATCATCAAGTCCTTCCATGTCAGTATGCATGGAACAGTGCAGTTTGATGGGTCGCATTTGGAAGAATTTGAAATCAAGATTAGTGTCAAACAGGGCTGTCCTGGGTTGGGGCTTTGGGGGGCCCTGCAGAGCTGGGCGGAATGGCTGCAATGACTCAGCGCCTCCACCAGCTTCACATCCAGCCGCTTGGCACACCCCCACCCTGCCGCCGAATCTGCTGCCAGCTTCTTCAAGTACAGGGTGTGCGGGGGCGTGGCCCCACACAAGCTGATTTGCCCCAGGACCCCACCCTGGTTGGCTCCAATGCCTAGCTCCAATGCTTTTTGGGATTTTCTTCACCGTGCTACTCAAATATGCATTCAGTGGATCTTCAGGAGAAATATACCTTCTGACCAGGTCTGATGGGAAACCCTTTAACCTTGCTTGTCTCCAAGTGAAAATGAAAACCTGAGAAGTTCTTTTCTGTGAAATGTTCTTTGCCAATGATGCAGCAATTGTAAGCCATTCAGAAGCAAGACTGCAAAGTCTTATGGATCACCTTACTCGTGCTTGTGACTATTTTGGTCTGACCATTAGCCTAAAGAAGACAGTAGTCATGGGTCAACAAGTTGACTGCCCTCATGAAGTTAGAATAAATGATGAAAGCCTGGAAGTGGTTTAAAAATTCACTTGCTTAGGCTCCCCATCTTGCAAAATCTTGGCTTGGAAGCTGAAATTAATGCTTGCAGTGGAAAGGCAAGCAATGCCATGGTTAAACTTCAAAAGAGAGTTTGTAAAAATAGAGCGCTCACTCTGTTGACAATGTCCATCTACAGCACTCGCGTATTTAGCTGTCTATTTTATGGCAGCAAAACATGGACTCCTTCTGCTAAGGAAGAAAGAATATTGAACAATTTCCATCTTTGATGTCTCTGTAATATCCTGTGCATAACGTAGTGTGAGAAAATCTCAACCTTGCTGTTCTGGAATGGACTAAGATACCCAGTATGTTCATGTTCCTGAGACAGAGACACCTCTGTTGGTTAGGACATGTGAATCATATGTGCGATGGCTGAATCCCCAAGGACATACTGTACGGTGAGCTGGCCACTGGCAAATGTCAACTTGGATGGCCCAAACTCCATTTTGTTGATATCTGCAAGAAAAATCTTTGTGAGCTGCACATCAATGGCCAACGCTGGGAATCAATTGCTTCAGACCGCTGTGAGTGGAAAGCCACCGTGAAGCAGGGCCTATGTTGCTTCAAGATAGAGAGGATCAATGATGAGCTAGAGAAGAGGCCTCAAAGGCAGGCAAGACAAAATGGTACTCAGCATGCCATTGTATGCTCAACCGAGTTTGTATATGCAACTTGCCAGAGGGTCTGCTTGCTGTGCATCAGACTCCTCAGCCACTCAAGAAGCTGTGGTGGTACCCAGTAACCCACCAAAGGCACAATCTCCATGGTCTCCCAAGACCGATGGCTGCCAATGATGATTTACTCCAGTTCCAAACTGGAGGCATAGTGTGTTGCTTTCAAATTTCAATTAATCACACCAGAAAAAATTTGTTTTATACAAATGTGAAACATCTATATCTCAGATTTACCCTGGTAGAAGAATCCCTAATGAAGTCATGACCCTCAGACTCATGTATGGGATTCCCATCTTTGCCTTGTCACAGCTACAAAAGAACCACTGAAGGAAAGGGTTGAGAAAAATAAATTCCCCAGAAAAAATTGGAAGCATCTGCCACTAAAGGGCCTGAGAGATATACTGTGGAAAATAATTTATTCCTGAACAATTTTTGTGAGAAAAGCAATGACCTACCATTGTAGAAGGGGTTTTTGTAGTCAAGCAAAGGGCATTGCAAAGATGCGTACTGCCTTTGAACCCTGTCTTTGTTAAAGCCATCCAGGGCCTGGCAGAAGAGTTACATTTAGGTTATTTAAAACATGTCAGTAAAAAATTTGCAGACCTTCACTAAAAATTCTTTTCTTGAGTTGGCAACCGTGTCCCCTGTGCAGATATAACCAAAAGTGAAATGATCCTATATAGTACCTTCTGTAAAGAGGTGTGAAAAATAAAACAAAACTGAGATGTTCTGGTGACTACAGATTCAATATGCCACAGTGCAGCAACGATTCAACATTTACATTTAAACTTCTACGGGGGCTAACAGTAGGTATTATAAGTTCTACAGAAACATCCATTAATACAGCTGGTGAAATATAGAAGTAGGATAACCAAAAGTCCTGGTTTGGCCAAGAAAATTCTTGATTTCACAGGCTGTCCTGATCCCAGCCGGTAGGTGAAACTTTAAGCAAAAGTCCTGGATTTGCACCACCCCACCCCATCCACATGTGCCTACCCAGCTCCTCCTGAGAGCAGGCTGCTCTCACTTGCGTGTGTGTGTACACATATACAAACGCACATGTATGTGAAGTGCCATGGTGCCCTGAGTGGTTGCCCACATTACCCATCCCTGACCGACTCTACTATGTGTGAGAAGTTCTCAGCCCACTGGAGTAGGGACCAGGGCTGCCACAAAGAGCCCAAGTGAGGAAGGGACTTCTTGCAGAAGGGGGAGTTTGGGGGGGAGATGACTCAGACCCCTGCCCTGAGTGAAGCGTTCGCCCTGCCCTTCCCTCCCAACCCACCCAACTGCCAGAGACCCATGTTTGGGGTTCAGCTCTGGGCTCTGCCCTAGGACTACAGCCCTAGCCAGCTCCATCCTGGCTGCCTTCCTTCCCATCATGCAACTGTATGGTTGGGATGGGTGTAGAACCCAGGTGCCATCACTTGGGTTCCTTTGGCTAGCAGGATTGCACGGGAAGGGGCGGGGGTGCTCTTGTTCTCTGTGAGCCACCAAGCCCCACTTTGTTGCTCTTCTGAGCTTAAACCAGAGGCTAGAAGAGGTGAGTCACTGCTGAGGTTGTGGGGGGAAGGAGGGCAGAGAGCAGTGTCCTGGATTTCCCATGGTTCTATATGGTTATCCTAACATACAAGTGACCCTCAGCGTGGGGGACTAGCTACATATAAAACTGACCAGACACCTTCACTGAAGTCTTCCACATTAATTGAAAAATGATCAGTAGATGATAATACAAAGCAAATGTTTCTCAATTTTAAGGTCTTTGGGCAGAACTTTTTGTTTATTATACAAACTGCTGAGCAGCCAGTACAATGGCACCTAAATAACATCAATAAGAAATGTCTATGTTACTCTCAGCATATTCTGCTGTTAAAGAAAATAGGATACTTTAATAAATCTGGAAACTAAATTTTAGGGCATTTAGTTATATTTTAATAGCAAGAAGGTAGTGAGTATATTGAGCGGTATTTTACAAGTTTGCATTGTTAACCTGTTAGCCTCAACGGGGAATATTTATACTGGTAAGAACATATTCCAGTATAAAGTCTTGTATAAAATAGAAATTCATGGAGTATGGCATTACCATTGACTGGGAGTCAGCAAACAGTCCTTCTTCATCGGGATGAAGGGAAGGTTGATTCCAGGAGGCTAATCTGAGGGAGCTTTGATGGCCTGGCACATCCTGTTTGGTATTAACTGGTTGTATATCATCTGTCTTGTTGTTCTTTTCAGACTTTTCGTATTAGAAAAATAAAACATGGTTTCTTAAAAGTTTCCATTTGCACCATTTACAATTCTAACTAAACAAATAATGTTGTTTTAATGTATTCCCATAGCAAATTAGCCTGTATTATAATAGAACAATATTGCTTTTCACTTAATTAGATCTCTAAGTGTTTTATACGTTTTATGTGATTTACATTTCAGCAAATAAAGGACGTTTATTCCAAACACAAAGGTGCTAAAATCTGAATGTCAGCACCCTTTCTGGCACAGAAGCATTAGTCATTGCTAGGGACCTACCAAATTTGTAATTTCATGATTTTCGCAAAAACATGAATTTAGTAGGTCCCCTGTGAAAAAGTCTGGTTCCCGAGAAAAAGCTGGAAAATGGCTATTGGGGGAGGGTGCTGAAAACAGGAGGGAAGCCATGGCCTCCTTCCCCCAGGCCCTCTCTGCCAACCAGTACCAAGGGGCAGGCCCTCTTCATCGATCAGCACTGAGAGGCAGGGACACAGCAAAATGACCATGGAACAAGAACTGTACACTACAATCAACCAGCAAAAATTAGTAAGTCCCCCCTGATTTCGGTAGACTGCTATCAAGAGATAATCCTTTTTGCATAATCAGATTGTTTTATAAACTTTTTTTTTTAAACTAACCTTTGTCTCAATCCACAAAACATCTTCTTTGCTCTCCAGGGATGGTCCCATACTTGCCTGCAGACATTCAGATTCATCCAGCATTCTTCTGTTGCTTGACTGACACTGCTGACTCCATGGCTTACTTCCATTTCCTTTCTCCAGTAGTGCAATTGTCATTCTGATAAGATATGTTTCAATATTTGGAGGAACCAGTGTTCTAATCTCTTGTATTTTGGTTAAATCTTGGGGTAAAAAAAATTAAATTATTAATGTACATTTTTATCTTTTCTTAACTTCCCCCCCAAAGTTCCTATACTGTTTCAAAATTAAAGAGCATTATTTGGAGGTTTGGTGAAGGAAAGCTAGACATCAACAGTTTCTGGGATGGCCTGTCACTAAACATAACATATTTCAAAGCAAGGAAGGAGTCAAATAATACAATAAAAAACACTGCATAGCTTGAATCTTCAAATAGAAAAGTATTAACCAATGGATAAATGTTGACCTTCATTTTGCACTCATGCAATCCCCTATACTCAAACTTAACCCAAAGCCATTATCACGTCTCCCCTAGCCTCCCTGTACTGTCATTCCCTTCACTCTTCACTGCAGCAGCTGAGGTTTTCCACTGTTTTTCTTTTATTTAAAAAATAGTGAACTGATAGTGTCCTTAAATCATTTACATACTGCAAAGGAACATTGTAACAGTTTAATCTCCTGTAAATTGTGGCAGGAGACTCTGAGCAAATAAGTCCTTTCTAATACCTAGGTCAGAAATCCAGCCGCTTTCCATCTATTGCCACAATGGCCATAGCAGATGTGCTCATGTTGTGGTCCTGTCAGAATCTAACAAATCTGCCAATTATACTAAATACCTTTTATTAACAATCTCAGACAGGAGATGAAAATCAGCAGCCATTTGCAGCACTCATTTGCAGTTCAGCTGAAATGGGGAGCTCAGGGGGCTGCCAGCTTAGTTTAAGTAAAGGAAATTAGGCTCAAAGCCCTGTTACCCAATGACTACTGCTAACCAGCATGTAGACTAATAGATCATAGCGCAATGAGTGGAGGAGTCCAGAGAGTTCAGAGAACCTAGAAACCTAAAATCATGAACAACTGGTGCCTCTTGAGACTGGGGGGGCACTGTTTGTAGGCGGCAGCACTGTCAGCAAGCGGGGACTGCCCACAGATGCTGTGGGAAGGGAGAGGGGGCAGCAAGCGGGGACCGCCCACAGACGTCGATGGCAGCGAGCAGCGACTGCCCACAGACACCGGTGGCAGCGGCGGTGGTGGTGAGGAGGAGGCCAATGGCAAACAGCTACCGCCCGCAGAAGCTGGTGTTGGCCAATCTCAGGGGGGGGGGCGGCCGCCCCCCCCGCCCATCCACGGGGGGGCCCCTCCCCCCCCCCCCCCCCATGCCCCTCCTGCGAGTCGCTTATGCCTAAAATGCCAATTTAAAAAAAATCTAAAAAACATGAATAGAGATATCTGTAATACCTCCTCTGTACTCGCTCTTACCTCCTACTAGAAAGTATATTCTTACTGCAGAAGGTGTCATCCCCAAGTTAGTGCCTGACATGGTGTAATGGTGTTCTGTGGCATTTTCGTTGTGTTATTTAAACAAAAGAGGGACCATGTCCACAATCATAACATGATCTTTAATGATAAAAGTTGTCCCAAAAGTCCTGCCCAACCAACCTCATTATTCCAAGATGAAGTTATTTTCTCAGCTAGATATGTGCGTGCGTGCGTGTGTGTGCGCGCGCGTGCATGTACATGTGTGTTAAGACCCAGACAAAATACTGGGCACTAAACCAGGAGTACTCAAACTCTGGTACACAGGCCAAATGCAGCCCATGAAGCCATTATACCTGGCCCGTGGGGCTTCCCAGAGGTCTGGAAATCTGGCAACAGGGGAGCAGTGGCCATTAATAAGAGCATCCTCCCCACTGCCAAATTCACAAACCCCAAGCCCCAGTAGGAGCCAGGCCATGTCACATCCCCTTCCCCATAAGGCTGGGCCATGTCACCTTCCTCCGCCATCTAAAGGAACAGGCCACACCCCCTTCCACGGGGCCAGAGTTTAAGGCCCCTTCCCCTCCATGGGGATGGGTTCAGGCTGAGCTGCCCCGCAACGCATCCTCTCTGTGGCTGGACTGTGGCTGTCGCTCTATCCCATCATCTGGTCCACAGTTAGACCAGGCACTGTCCATCTGTCCCTCAGGGGAAAAAGTTTGAACACCACTGCACTAGATCAACGTGTTAAAATAAAGAACTGCTGTTCTTACATCGGTTCAGAAGAACAGCACTCAGCATCATCACAACTAATTACACGCTAGTGCTTCCATTGCACTCCCCAACTGCAGATCTTAAAGTGCTTTACAACAGTGGTTCTCAACCTTTTTTGTATTAGGGCCCATTTGTAAACATCGATGGCCAGTCCCAACCTAGAGCACTCTAGCCCTGCTGGTGCCCCTCACTCCCCACTCAGAGCCCCCTGGCCTTGCTGGTGTCCTCACTCCCAAGCCAGAGTCCCCTGCCTCCCTGGGCCATCCTGCTGCTCATCACTCTAAACCCACAGCCTCTTGCCCACCCCCAGCCCTGCCAAAGGGGGCCCCCAGCTGTCCCTGTCCTGCTCAGGCCAGAGCACAGTGGCTGCAGTGGTTCTGACTCATGTCTGGCCCCGGCACAGGCTGAAGGGAGGAGGAGGGGAGGCCTGTGGCACCCGCCCTGTCAGGGCTGAGGGTCCCACATTGCATCAGGCAGCCTGGTCACAACCCCTCCTGCCCCCTGAGCAGAGTCTCCTGGTTGCCCCACCCTAGCAAGTACCGGCATTGGCCCTGGTGCTGCCAGCCCAGCCACACAGTTCTCCCCTGCCCCCTTCTCCTGACTGCTTTCTGCTCCCAGCCCTGTGACACCTGACTGATATACTGCTCTGCTTTTTGCTTCTTTCCCTGTACTCCATGCCCATTTTGCTGCTTTGCTTTCTGCCCCATCTCCCACCATGCTGCCTGTCCCCTCCATGATCCGAGAGCCACATACGTGCCACTTATGGCACCTACGTGCCACTTATGACAAGTATGCCACAGGTTGGCCATGCCTGACCTAAAAAATGTTTCAGAATGCTTACTAAAGTATTTTGATAATATCAAAACAACCAGAACAGCATGCTCTCTGTATGTTAAGAGAACAGAAAGAAGTTTCCAAGAGGTTTTTGCTTCTTTAGCTAGCACAACATTGCCCCCAACTCAGTTTTGTGCTTAGACACTGTATCAGAGGATACATAAAAGACTGGAGTATGTCAGGACATCTTGATAATAAGGCATAAGAGAGCAAAGCACTCTTTTGACACAAACCGCATATCCTCTCACTAAGAAATGAGAAAACTGCTCCTTCCCCAGGTCTGCCATTATACCATTCGGGCCAACGTAATTCCTCATCAGTCCTGCTCTCTATGTTTCTGAGTATACCCTTGTACCTCATAAAGGTCACTTCCCACCACCCCATTCTCTCTTTTCCATGCCTCTGCTCATTCCAATCTCATAATCACACACCATAAGGTGGCGCTGGTGCTTTTCATGCTCTCCAAATTCTTGCCTAAGTATGTAACAGGATACAGAAGTTTGTCATTCACTTCATCCATATTTCAATGGCTGTTGTTAACGGCTTCAAGCTAGGCTTGTAAGTCTCACCTGAGTTGATGGGAGGATTTTTGATAACATTGGAAACAGCCTTCTGAATTTCAGGAGTCAGACCTGCTCGTTCTAAGTCAACTGGATTGTTAGATATCATTGCCTGGTATAAATGAGTGCCAATCACAGAAAGAGGAAGAGACCTGCTCTCACTTATGCTCCTCTGGGGAGGAAAAAAACCAGAAAAGAAATCTTAGATGGTGAAAGTATGCAAAACAATAACAAAAGAACAAAAGCTTGTATCCTTCACCAACCAAGAACAAGGGCAGGACACAAGCGCTCCAAAGCACTTACCAATGCACTATATGTTTCTGATGTTTCAAACTTTGAATCCAATTTTTAAAAAGCTGTTTCAGCTGAGAATATTAAATCTTACATGTAGTGTGTGCACACTTTCTCACTTTGAATTTATCCTTAATAAGACACCCAAGGGAGAAAGTTCTGCCTGTTCAAAAGTCTAAGATGCATAACCCACTGACCATGATGCTCCTTGATACACAGTACAAAAGAATAGGTGGGTTAGAGTGGGAAGTGACCACCATATCTCCATGGCCCATGCACAAACCCTACACCTCTCCACTCTCCTTTAGAAACTGCCACCACTAACTACTACTCTTTGGTCTACTGCTTGGAAAGGCAAATAAATCCCAGAATATGGCAATCTGTACTATGCAAAGGAAACAATGATTTCACTGTATATGGGCCCAAAGGATTCCATCTTGGGAGAAGCATCTTATGGTAATCTAGCAATTACAACTGTAGAATCAACTCAACTCATCTATAAATGAGGTTTATTTGTTAGAGTCTCTCTATATCTGTCGGTATCAGAACCTTTAAAAGGTTTATAAGTGTTGCAGGTCTCACTGTTTGATTCCCAATATCACTGTACAACATGGGTGGTACTTCCAAAATACTAACAGTAACTAACAAAAGCAGATTCTTCCTTCTTTATTTTGCTATCTTTTAAAATACTAACAATAGGATGGAAGCTTTCCAGATCTTGCTTATCTAAACTAGGACTTTTTTGAAGAATAGATTTAAAATTAATTATTTTTCTTCCCTAAAAGAATTAAACTTTATGTTTCTTTTATTGACTTCCCCCCAGACAATTCATACAAAATGCATGTAATAATCAGGGCTATTTGATACCAGGCATCAAATTACCTAACACTAATTGTACTATTGCTTCTTGTTAATTAGTCCTTGGGTATTTTAATTTTGTGATTATGTGACAAGTTTCACTCCTACACTCTTGGGAGGGGCAAGTCAAACAGTTTCATCTTTGTATCACCAGATCAAAGAGGAATAAAACAAGAAAGTCAAAATGGGAATAAGAAAAATAATTATGAAACACACTTTCAAGGGCACATGGTACCATACATACTTAACACAGTTCATTATGGCTCTCAGCCTAAACAGCAAGTGCAAAACAATAAACAGTTAATTTTTAAAACCTATATCAAGGTCATGTCATGGTTAGGATATATTTTCTTTTCAATTGTAATTACAAAGGATCGACTAAACTCTCAGGCCAGTAGTGAGCTCTAGTAATATACTACATGTTTTGGAAGTCTCTGCAAAAAAACTGTAGAACTGGTTCAGTGCTTTCTCAAAGAGTGTGGTGGACGAGCTACACCAAGCAGGCAAGGTGCCATACATAACCGCATGGGATTGCTTCAGTACAATCAGCTTTAGAAGACAGTTTTGGCCTCCTGCATATTCTAACTTGATTTAACATGATTTGATATTAAAACCAGTTACCAGTACTGCTTGGCCAGCCAGTTCAGACATGCAGCTAAATGGCAGCCAAGGTAGGGCTTGGGTATTCTAACATGAAGATCTACTTGCACTGCAGAGAACGTTTGAAAAACAGTCACTAACAAGTTTGATCCCCCAAAATCTCACAACTCAGCACATATTAAACTTCTGCACACAATCTCTTTAACGCCTCTTTTAAATATATAAGCATGTTCATGTATCCAGGGATGGGAAACTTACCAAAGATAGGTTCTTTTCCTGGAACAGCCTGTACGTTATAAGCTGCGACTGAGGGAGGGGTCGGCACCCAACACCCTTCTGAACGGCTGCTTGCTGCTGTTCTCTAGATTCAGAAGTTGGGAATGTATCTGCCTACAGCAAGGCAAATGAGATATAACAGGAGTTATAACTTGGCAACAGTCAACCAACAAATTGTGTCACCAAGGTAATAGATTTCTAGAACTGGGAATGGAAATGGAATAGCTTATGTCCAAGCACACTTGGGTTTTGCAGTCAGGTGATGCTCTCTACACACAAGCAGGAAACCAACACAGGCTGTGCCTGTAATTCAATCTGTACATGCATACATCCCCTCAAATCTACAAAGCACAAGTGTAGGGTAGCCTGTTTAACAAAACAGAAGGGCCACAAAATAACTGACTTTTATACCCTTTGCTGGTTGGTGCATTTTAATTTAGTAATTCTGTTAAAAACCTTTTCATGCCTAAGTGTAATAATTCAACAAGGCAGACTTTCATATCAGTTTTACCTATGACACCTAAAAATGTAAACTTGAGAAGTTTAAGTGCAAACCTCTTCCCTCAACAAGTGCTATCCTGGAGTGAAATGACTTTTGATCAAGACTACCATCTCCGAGTGACTATTCACAAGCTATGCTAAGAATTCAGTCCTGTGTACTTTGGGTGCAATAACGATAGGGTAGCGTAAAAAAGCCTGAAGAATGGAATCTGAAAGTAACGGGTTGGGTTGGACAGACCTTAACAGTTCCTCCGAGTCTTACCTGCAAATTATTTGCCTGACAAAACGCCTTGATTTCATTCAGGAGAGGTACCAACATGACAGATTTAGCTTCAGATACACCATCAATTCTCTTCACATTTTCAATAGTTGTAGGCCTGTTTCAGGATAAAAAAAAATTAGCAGAAAACTGATAGGCTCTTCTGAATATAGGACTGTCTGTGAAAGAAAACTGTCATCCACTTTAACCACACATAACACTAACAAAGATGATTACTCTGCCATCAGTACACTATATTTTAGTCGTATTATTATTTTAAATAACATAAAACAACTAGTGGATGAACTGCGTGTTTTTGCTATTGTTTTTTGTTTTTTTTGGCAAATACATTGATTTGGCACTACCTAGCCTTTAACACTAGTTTTGTTAATCCTTTTGTTAACCCTATTGAGTTTTGTAGTACAGGCAGTCCTCGACTTACGGCGTTTTGACTTATGGCAATTCGCACTTGCAGTGCTCCGCCATTTACACCCATGTTATTACTTACGGTGCTGGATCCTCACACTTAGGGCACTACAGGGAAATTTACAATGAGAAGAAAAGGGCAGCAAAACAAACATCCCTGGATCAGTTTCTCAAAAAGCCATCAAGTGGCCCTAAGTCTCCACAAAATCTCCCCAAAGAAGCGCTTCTGAATTCCATGACCCTGATGAAGGTGTTGCTTCAAACTTCTGATTAAATAAAATGTTATGTGATTAGTTACTGTATTGCCCTGTTTAATTGATTTATATACAGTACAATTTAGAAAGCTTTATACTGTACAGTGTATATCATTTATAGTTGATTAAATAGTTGATTTAAATATGGTGTTTATGGTCATTTCTATAAAAAGTTGGGAATCAGGCCCTTGGTCAGGAATGTAACTCCCTATTATAACGTTGTTTCTATGGGAAAATCAGATTCGACTTATATCGCTTCAACTTACAGTGCCTTTTCCAGGAATGTAACCCACCATAAGTGCAAGAACTGCCTGTAGTAACGAATGGCTGTAATACATGACTGCACATGAATATTTCTCCCAACTTGTTAAATACTTTGTCTTGGCTAGATTTCACTAACTTCATGCCACACTGGGTCAGACCAATGGTCTACCTAACCCATTATCCTGTCTCCAACAGTGGCAGGGGTGGATGTTATAGAGCAAGGGTGGGCAATTATTTGGGCTAGTGGATCACTTAAGGAGCTCTGGAGTTCTGGTGAGTTGCTGAGGGCTGGACGGGGTGGGGGGGGCAGGGAGATGCCAACTGATCCTATCCGGCCCATGGCTGGCACAGACTCACCTTCTAGTGGTGCTGCAGTGGCAGCAGCTCATTGAGACAGGTGGGCAGGCAGGATGCCTACTCAGCACACTGCATTGCACCTGTCCCACATTTGCCTGGCAGCCACAGTGCCAGGACTGCACAGCACCAATAGGAAGCCAGGCTGGGAGAGAGTAATCTGCCTGGCCCAGCTCTCGCTGAGAGAGCGCGGAGCGATGCAGGGTATAGCCCTCCCTCCTCAGGCTCTTGGCAGTGGCCAACAGGCTGGATAAGATCAGTTGGAGGGCCAGCATGGCCCACAGGCTGAATTTTGCCCACCCCTGCTATAGGAGGGAAAGCACTGGACCAGATATATCTAGAGTGATCACTCCCTTCCCTCATTTCCACCATTATTGGTTTAGAGATGCCAGAGGAAACATTGCTAGGCAATATGTTCAATAACCATTATTAGACCCATCATCAATGAACTTATCCAGTCCCTTCTTTAACTGGTTATGCTATCTGCCTCCACCACCTCCTGTGGCAATGAATTCCACAAGTTAACTATATGTTATGTAAAAAGTACTTTCTCTTTGTTAGATTTAAAACTGTCTCCTGTTAATTTCAGTGGGGGCCCCCTAGTTCTACTATTCTGGGACTTGATGAACAACAGTTCTCTGTTCACTTGGTCCAAACCCTTCGTGATTTTATAGATCTCTATGCTATCAAATCTCCCCTCAGCCTTCTCCTTTCCAAGTTGAAGAGTCCTAGCCTCTTTAGCTCTCCTGATATGGCAACTGCTCCATGTTCCTGATCATCTTGGTTGCCATTCCCCATACTTTTTCTTATTCTACTACAGCCTTTTTTGAGATGTGGGGACAAAAATTGCACACAATATTCAAGATGTAGGTACACCATGGATTTGTATAATGGTATGATCTTTTCCATTTTGTTTTCAATTCCCTTCTTAATAATGTTCAACATTTTATTGGATTTTTTGGTTGCTGTTGCACATTGAGCTGTCTCTTTAAAACTTTTTAAACTGTCTACAATGACTCCAAGGTCTCTTTCCTGAGTTGTGACACCCATCTCAGAACCTAATAAGGAGGTCATAGAATACCTTTAGGTGTACTTTGAAAAGTAAAGGCTTTACCTGATCTTGGCCATGTCCACTAATATTTTATTTGTTGCCAGCACAGCTGGAGGAATGAATTTCTCATTGGCTAACTTTTGTCTGGTTGCCAATAGCTTGCTGTAGAGAATAGTCTGTGAAGAAGAAAAGCAGACTATGAATACATCCGAAACTATTTTAAAGAACACATTAGGTTAGGTATCACAACTGATTAAAAGGAGAAAGCCAGAAACCACTTAAAATAAAGTACAAAGGCAACACTTCAGGACACTATAATCTCCCAAGCAGGATTCCAGTTCAAGGCAATTTCTTAAGAGTAAAAGCATAAAAGTTATAAAATGTAGGCCCCAACACATGTTGTTAAAATAGCACTATGGAATCTGATCCCTGATCCCAATAGCTGTGCCTCCTACCATGGCAGAGGATTTTTGGTCTCAGCCCTGATATTACACTGGAACAAGTTAAAGACTGGTACAGTCCCAGGACAGGACCAACAATCAGCTGCGCCAGTCCCAGAGCCCCATACACCAAAATGTCTAAAAAACTTAATGTGCAGTGCAGCGGCATGCACATATTTTTAAGGTCACAGCATGTCAGGTCCCTGAAGTCCAGGAGAAGTTCCTCAATCCTTGGGTCCCCATGTACCGAAAATGTCAGAAAACCATGTGTGCAGCCAAACTGCACATGTAGTTTTTAAAAGTCCCAGAGCACAGGGATCACAGAATCAGGGAACTTCTCTCCAATCCCAGAGTCTTTGTGGCTGGAACATTTCAAGTGCCTTGCTCTTGACTCAAGGAAGTCAACCTGCTAGGCTGTGGCAAGCCCTGCAGCCCCCTAAAACCTGGCACTCTGGCCCATCTGGTGAGCTCCCCTTGACTTGACACCCTAAAAATAACAGGATGCAGCTCCATGCATGGCTGCCAGCATGCTGATGCAGGGAAGTGTCAACCAAGCCCTGCCATGCACCCTGCATCAGGCTGTAGGGCAGGGACCATGTCACAAATTCAATTCATACAGTGATGGAAACCAGCCACAAAAATATCCCATGCATTTTGTGGAATAATTTTGTGGTTGATTTCCCATTTTGTCACATTAATTGCATGAATGCACAACTGAGTTACTATTTAAGATGCAATTAACAGGTTAATTGTGTCTTAAGTGGAATGTCTGCCAGGGGCCTCATCTTAACAGCTCTTCCTCTGGTTGTTTGGAGGGGAACAGGACTAGTTTCTAGGATTGTGTTAGATGTATAGTTTAAATGGATTTCTTGAAAAAAATCAGTTGAAGCCTCTAGTTACTTACATGCAGTTCCTTCTCTTTGGCTGAAACAGCAGTTCCCAGGGTATCTGGTGACTGTACCACAATACTATTATATTAAAAAAACAAAACCCAAAACAAACATGTTATTATTTTTTCCTATTAGCCCAGTGTATTCATTCATTCTGCGTAAAGATGTGGGAGGCAGCAACCTTTATGTTAAACAAAACTCACCTGCTCCCTGAAAAACATAATATAAGTCCAGCACAATGGTATGGCGCCCACGAGTACTGGAAATTACAAAACAGGAGAAACAACTTCAAGAACCATGTGGAGAAACTTGAAAGAGTCCGGAGAAGAGCCACTCGTATGATTAAAGGCCTGAAGAGCAAGCCCTATGAGGAAAGGCTGACATACATGGGACTGTTTAGCCTAGAAAAGAGAAGACTTTGGGGGGATTGGGTGGTAGCTTACAAATATATCGGGGGGGGAGCATCAGGGGCTAGGTGAACAACTATTCACCAAAGAGCCCCAGGGGAAAGCTAGGAACAACAGTCAAACTCCTAGAACAAGGTTTCAGACTGGATATAAGGAAAAACTTCATGGTTCATGTGACCAGACTCTGGAATAGACTCCCAGTAGGGGTGATACAGGCACCTACCCAGGAGATCTTCAAAAGAAGACTAGACACACACGTTGCTGGGCTTATTTGACCCCAGCAGTCTTTCCTGCCTAAAGCAGGGGGGCTGGACCTGATGATCTCACAAGGTCCCTTCCACCCCTAAACTTCTATGAATCTGTGAATACTCACAGAAGTATTCATTTTGGGAAGGACATTTTCTCCTGGTTCACTGGAATGCAGCACTGCCCAGAATTGATACCTCCGTGTCTTTATAAATCAGATGCTGTCCTTGGAACTGTTATGATGCCATGGTATGGTGCAGAGGTGACTGATCTGTGGCATGAGTAGGGATCTGCCTAAGTCATGGCGAGCTAAATACATTTTTGTGGGCTACGTAGCACATATTCACTAATTTCGCAACTTTTTTGCTGTGACCCCACCCCTCACCACTGATTGGCTGAAGGGCCTCAATGGCCTTGCCCTTCCTCGCCCTCATCTTAACAGCTCTTCCTCTGGTTGTTTGGAGGGGAACAGGACTAGTTTCTAGGATTGTGTTAGATGTATAGTTTAAATGGATTTCTTGAAAAAAATCAGTTGAAGCCTCTAGTTACTTACATGCAGTTCCTTCTCTTTGGCTGAAACAGCAGTTCCCAGGGTATCTGGTGACTGTACCACAATACTATTATATTAAAAAAACAAAACCCAAAACAAACATGTTATTATTTTTTCCTATTAGCCCAGTGTATTCATTCATTCTGCGTAAAGATGTGGGAGGCAGCAACCTTTATGTTAAACAAAACTCACCTGCTCCCTGAAAAACATAATATAAGTCCAGCACAATGGTATGGCGCCCACGAGTACTGGAAATTACAAAACAGGAGAAACAACTTCAAGAACCATGTGGAGAAACTTGAAAGAGTCCGGAGAAGAGCCACTCGTATGATTAAAGGCCTGAAGAGCAAGCCCTATGAGGAAAGGCTGACATACATGGGACTGTTTAGCCTAGAAAAGAGAAGACTTTGGGGGGATTGGGTGGTAGCTTACAAATATATCGGGGGGGGAGCATCAGGGGCTAGGTGAACAACTATTCACCAAAGAGCCCCAGGGGAAAGCTAGGAACAACAGTCAAACTCCTAGAACAAGGTTTCAGACTGGATATAAGGAAAAACTTCATGGTTCATGTGACCAGACTCTGGAATAGACTCCCAGTAGGGGTGATACAGGCACCTACCCAGGAGATCTTCAAAAGAAGACTAGACACACACGTTGCTGGGCTTATTTGACCCCAGCAGTCTTTCCTGCCTAAAGCAGGGGGGCTGGACCTGATGATCTCACAAGGTCCCTTCCACCCCTAAACTTCTATGAATCTGTGAATACTCACAGAAGTATTCATTTTGGGAAGGACATTTTCTCCTGGTTCACTGGAATGCAGCACTGCCCAGAATTGATACCTCCGTGTCTTTATAAATCAGATGCTGTCCTTGGAACTGTTATGATGCCATGGTATGGTGCAGAGGTGACTGATCTGTGGCATGAGTAGGGATCTGCCTAAGTCATGGCGAGCTAAATACATTTTTGTGGGCTACGTAGCACATATTCACTAATTTCGCAACTTTTTTGCTGTGACCCCACCCCTCACCACTGATTGGCTGAAGGGCCTCAATGGCCTTGCCCTTCCTCGCTACTGATTGGCCAAGAGGGCTGTCCATCATGCGCTCACGCCCCTAGCCTCTGACTGGCCGATCTTGCCTGCTCCCCTTTGTACCAGTGGCTCCTCCCACACCCTGGCAGCCTGTGAAGCTGGGTCACAGCAGCTATGAGGACTGCTGGCTCCCACTGGGGAGATGGCATTTTATTTTAATAAGGTGGGGCTGGGGGTGTATTTCACTGATAATGCCTGATTTCTCAGTTTCCATGAAATCCGCAAAATCACAAATTAAGGAGGTTCCTACGCATGAGTACCACAAGTGACATGGGCAGCCTCTGTGTGGCACATGGCAGAACAGGGAGAGGACAGACAGCACAGCAGCAGGTAGGGCAGAAAGTAGAGGAAGAGATCAGGCAGGGAGCAGAGGGCAGAAAGCAGGTCAGGAGTTCAGGCAGGGAGCAAAAAACAGAGCAGCAGAAGAGACGGATTAAGAGGATCAGAGTGGTACTTGGGAAGGTTGGACAGCTAATTTGTGGCATGCCAGCCAAAATGGTTGGTCCCCACTGCTGTGAATCATGCCCTGTCTGCTGACAGGGGAGGTCCTGAAGATGAAACTAGTTAGTATTCCTCTTTGCCTGATCCCCCACATGCTGCACTACACATCAGGAATGTAGTATAAAATCCAAGCAGTCAGGAAGACTAGAAGACATGTGGGAACCAGCACAGACCTTTCTGACCCAAACTACACTTAGTACATACTACTTATACATATAATTATATTTATTATTTATTCCATACATAAGAATAAGATAGAATAATTATAATATATACACTATGCTATAAAAGGTGTTAGAGATGCACTGATACATCAGGCCCATATCAGATTGGCACCGATATACAGGAAAATTGACAGTATCAGCAATCAGCTTTTTTTGGCTGATGTGGCCGATAATGTCACTGATAAAAGGCACCCATGCATGAGTGAAGCCACAGCACACAGGCAGCCAGGACCACAGCCTGGCAGCTTCCGGCTGGTAAGTCTGTTGTGGGGGAAGGGAAGACACGTGAGGGGAGGCAAATTGAGGCCCCAGCAGTGAGGGAGGGAGTGGGGCTCTTCCGGGGGTGCAAGGAGGGGTGGCAGCTCCCACCACTGTGCACACCCCAGGGAGGGCATGGGGGGGGGTGTGCCCCTGGATCTGCGTGCGGGGCGAGGGTGGGCTGCCACTGTGGGTTGAGGCCGGGCCATGCCAGGATCTTCCCAGCAGGGGAGCTGAGCTGGACTGCGTTTGGGGTGATCAGTGGTGGTGCTGGGAGGGGGGCTATGACAAATTTTGGGGTGACTGCAGCACCCCTCCCAATGCCACCACCACCCACCCTGAGCGCAGTCTGGCCCAGACTCCCCCCCGCCAAGAAGAGCCCGGCACAGCCCTGGCCCCAGCCTGCAGCTGGAGCCCGCCCTCACCCCACACACAGATCTGGGAGCACACGCCCCCCATGCCCTCCTGGGGTGCATGCAGTGGTGAGAGCTGCCCCTCCCCCCCCCACACACACATCCCAGATTAGATGCTCACAGCTCTATCCCAAGCCCTGCCCCAGCTGGGCAGTGCCTAACCCTGCTGCAGCCCCACTCCCTCCCTCACCGCAAAGGCCTCAATCTGCCCTCCCCCATGCCCCTTTCCTCCCCCACCCCTTCCCCCACAACAGACTTACCAGTTGGATGCTGTTCTCCAAGATGCTGGGCCACATATTGGCAATCGGATCAGTATTGGTCGATATGGCTCCTTAAAAATTGGCCATCGGTATTGACCCCCAAAAAACTGCCATTGTTGCACCCCTAGAAAGGTATACTTATACTATACACACACGCGCATGCACACACACACTATACTTATGAAAGACCATCATCTAGATGCTTTCCCAGATCTCCTCTTTTCTACACCAGGATCACATTTGCATTAGAGAAAGAGAGACTGGTTTATAAATATGTTTTCTTTCAAAGCCCAAATACACTCATATCACTGTGCTGTCCTGAATAGAAAGGGAAAACCATTTAAATAAAAAAAAGCTTAATAAAAATCATGCTCTTTTAGGAGAGTCTACTCTATGGCATGGATGTCTAATTCCACCTCAATCTGTTGTGGCCTGGAAAACTGGATTAGCATGGGGATGCCATTTGGAGTTATCAGTGTTGTTGCTGTTGTCTTTGTCGGGTGTTACTGATGTGTTGTCAGGGTGTGAAGTCTCAGGAACTGTGGTGTCAACAAGTCACAGCCAGGAGATCCCAACGCTAATCTTGTCTTAAAGAATGACCACAGGCTCAGTTCAGTGGCAAAGATTCACCCAGGTTTATTGTCTATAAGCACAGCCCTAACACATTTTGGCCTAACAAGCACATCAGACCAGGAGCTAAGGCATTTGTACCTGTGACAAGATAGTCAACAAAACACCATTCAGGCTCCCACAGGCCGCTATAAAGTTTCCCTGCTTTCCAATTCTCTTTTTATACAATGATCAGAACAAATAGGTTTCAGATAAGATGTCTGTGTGTATGCCATATACAAACAATTGGGACCAGTATTGTATTCATAAAAAAGTAGGGCTGGAAGGGACTCCAAGAGGTCATCCAGTCCAACCCCCTGCCTGAGGCAGGATCATCTCTGTCTAAATCAGATTCTAATCTCTACATAAGACTACCATCAACCTTGACACAACCCAGACCTAGTACCCTAACCTGCCACAAGTAAAGCGGCGGAACCATGGCAGCTAATGTCCTGTGTCTATGAAATGTTGTCAGTTTATGTTCAAGCAATCCCAGGTAGAGGGCCACACCCCCACACTACAGAGAAAGGTTAACCCCCCCCCAATCTGTACCAGTATGCTCATGAGGTAAAATTCCTTCCTGACCCTCAAGTGTGGTGATTGGTCTGACCCTGAGTGGAGGAGCAAGACCCTCTAGCCAGGAACCTCCAGCTTTGGTCCCAGCAAGGCATTGGCGCACTGCGATCAAAGTTCTAGCCTTGGCATTTCTGTATTTTGCATTTCATCTTTATGTTGAACGTCTTAAACTGTCCTGTACCATGGGCTTGTTTCATATTTTGACTTGGGTGTTTCCGTTCCAGCTTTATCATTCTGGTACTGGCCTAGCCTACCTTGTACCATCATCTCTCATTCCCACCTTTTGGCAGGAGTGCACATCTGGCCCACATGCCAAGTTTTGTGTACGTGAGGAGTTCATGCATCAGTCAGGTTTCTCTAGTGAGGCCTACTCTTGGCCAATGCTCTGGCCAAGACTTTGTGTGAGCAGCATATATTGAGCAATACTCTAGCAAAGCCTACAGGATAGTTATCCTTGTACATCTATAGCACTATAACTGTAAGCATAGGTTTATGGTAGCAAATTCCCCTGCATAGACAAGCCCTAATTCCCTATTCTTTAAAAAATATTTTTGTGTCCTCTTTGAGATAAAAGGCAAAACTGATTTCACTTCACTTGTATCTTCTCCAGACAGGCAAAAAAAAGTGAAAAAATGCAACCTATATTCCTCTCAACCACTGTATGAAATATAAAATCAAATTTCTTCTGACTCTGGTAAACAGCTTCTCTTTTTCCTAAAAACACATTATGAAAGTGACAGGTACAAACAATTCTTATATCTTATCCTGACCCAGCAAGAAATGAATCACATTTTAAGTTGTCAAAAAGAGCCCCTAAGTAAAAGTGAGGTCAATAGCAAAGCAACCTGGAATAAAAAAAGCTATTATATATTGCTTTTAGTTAATATTTGTTGTTTACTTCCCCTGATTGTGAATTTAAAATACTACTAGTGAAAATTTATTTTTGCTTTAAGCAGTAAATGATAAATAAATTTATTTGTAAATATGCAAACAAATAAGTTTTCATAGGTTTGAATTTGTGAATTTTGTTATTCAGAAAACAAAGCATAAGAAATTACATGTATTACATCTTATTTTAATACAAAAATAAATATTCCATTCTTGTTAATCAGAAATAGATGTACCTTAAGGTCACTTGAAAAAAAAATGTAGTATATGTCTAAGAGCGATATATAATAGCCTCTTATCTTTACTCCCCTTCGCAGCCTAAACTGACTTGTAATTTGTGACATTTTATCATGTAATGCAAGGCAAAGTTGCTTGATTTACTCATCAGTTAAGTGCAACAGAAATTAATCTGCTCTTTTATTGTAGAGTTTTAATGATAGACTAAAGTATAACAGGCTTTTTAAATATTAAAGGTGAGTACATAGCTCATATTGACAGATTGGTACCTGATTACTGCATATTCAACCCAAATGTGGTTGGAATTTGCAGTGTTTATTTTTAGACACTGATCTAGATAGAGACTGACAAGAAAGATTACTTTTACACCGTAAACATGTTTACTTCCTGGCCCCTGCTCCCTCCCCCTAACAGGTGCTTTAAAAATACTAGCTATACAATAGATAAAATAAGGTACAAATAAAGAAATAGATACCAATATAAATAATTCTGGATACTGTACCTGTTATTTGAGTCACTACTTCTTGCAGAAATTTTACTGACTTCTTTATGTGAAAACATTTCATGCAGTTGTGACTGTTTTAAAAATACAAGAACACCAGGACAGAACATCAGATACGATATCCAGTTTCCCCAATACAAATACTAACAGTAAAACATCATTTAATATTTTACATACCAATTTGATTGCAAGAAAGAAGAAAGGGTTCTAACACAGAGAAAAAAGTGCATGTGAACTTGTTTCTCATTAAAAAGTCTACAGCACAATAGACAATTCTTCCTTCCTGCAGCAATCTCTCTAGCCTATTACCATAAACTGTACATGAATAAAAAGAGACAGCAGTAGATACAATAATTTTAACTAGAAAATAAGTCTAAAGTTTAACTTCAATTTCGCATAAGTGGAATTTATAATGAACAGTAGTTACTAGAACCAGTGAGCAAATATTTTATTTAAACAAAAATCACTATTAGTAAAATGTATCTTATGTTGAAAACAAACTGAGAAAAGCAAAGAAAAAAGAAGTTACCATATGGACAGGTGTACCATATGGACTTAGTCTTCCTCTTACTTCTGACATACTTGTAGAATGCTTTTTATTTCCTTTTGCATCTGTTGCTAGCTGTATTTCAGTTCATCTCTTGCCTTACTAGACTTTCTCCCTGCATGCCAAGTCCTGATGGAATGCACTTAAAGAGTGGAAGGAGAGAATGCCTTTCCAGTATATGAGAGAGACCTATATAACCAGAAGCCATTGGGAGGAAACAGCTGACTTTGAATATTTCAGCTGCGACCAAAAATAAGAGCATAGGAACCTTCTGAAGCAAGGGTGTCAAACATACAGCTCGAGGAGCCCTATCATTTGGCTCATGGTGCTCCCCATGAGTCTTGGGCTGGAGCCATATGCTACCTATACGTATGGTATACACTGGATCAGACCCATGCACTGCACATGGGGCAGCACATGCTGCATGCAGTACCTTTGCTGGACCAGCCCTATATATTGTATCTGGCATGTGTGGCCAAGTTTGTGGGCCTGATCTGGCATGTGGACCAGCCCCACATTGCTCATCCAACCTGTACAATGGCCCCACACTACTCATCCAGCCCAGGGGCCTAATGGCCACCCTTATTCTAAATGGCTTGGTCCTGCACAGATAATAGATCTCTTTACATCCAGACTACAAAGGGGCCTTAAATCATGAATCATGCAACTTTCACCAAAACACTCAGTAAAAGACTGGTGATGAAATCTACTGACTAATGTGGAAGTCC